ATCCAATTACACTTAGCTATGACGTCTAAGGATGTTTTTACTTGGACTGTAATTTGCTGGTCTGATCTGATCTGGTATGGTCTGTTCTGGTCTGGTTTCTTTGTATTTTATAATTATCCAAGTCTGGTCTAGTCTGGTCTGGGACAGATTACAGTCCAAGTAAAAACATCCTAACATGCATCACACCATGATAAGCTTGAAAACCGGTGTAAAAAACTTGTCAAAATCAACTCCCTCAACTTGAGTGAAACCCCTAACTACCAATCTAGCCTTATGGCGTTCTATATCGCCATTTGATTTATAATTGATTCTGTAAACCCATTTGAATATGCGATTCTTTTCCCGAGGGTTTGATGTGGTTATATGACATTTGTACCAAGGGTTTACCACATCAAACATCTAATGGTGAATCCATGTACTTTGTCTCATGTTTTAAATCAAAGCATTGTACGTTCTATTCTAGTTTGAAATGGAAATTGCATTTCTGTGGTCGCCAAATGGCACCAAAACCACAGCCCTACCCAACCGCAACTTACACCTTAAAAATACCCTTATTACCCCCTCCCATTATTAGAAATCTTATATCTGTTTGCAAATTCACCACTTATAATAATGTTTCTGTCGAACTTGATCCTTCTGGTTTTTCTGTGAAGGACTTGAATTCAGAGATCCTTGTAATGAGATGCAATAGTTCTGGGAGCGGCGGCGGCGGCAGCAGTAGCAGTAGGAGTAGCAGTAGCAGGAGTAGTAGTAGTAGTAGTAGTAGTAATAGTAGTAGTAGTATACAAACAAGGTTTATATTTCAACTAACGTTATTTACATTTTCATGTGTCTCAAGTTACATTTAAATTAACGCGATTTATATTTTAATTTGCCTTAACAAGTTACATTTTAATGCAATTTGTTTGAAATTGCATTTAAGAGGTGTTTGGATCAATTTCTCAAAACTACTTCTGCTTCTAAAGGGAGCAAAAACAGATATTGTGATGTTTTCTTTTGGACTGTTTTCAGTCCCAGATCAGACCAGACCAGACTTCCATAGTTATAAAATACACAGAGACCATACATTTACCAGACTAGACCAAACCAGTTCAGACCAGACCAGACCAAACCAGCAAATTTCAGTCCAAAAGAAAACATCTTAGGGGGTGTTTGGATCTGATTCTTAAAACTTCTTCTGCTCCTTCAGGGAGCAGAAGCAGAAGTTGGAGTGTTTGGGTGAAAGTGCAGAAGTGATTCTGATGCTCTAATTTACTTCTAGAATCAATTTTTTTAGAAGCTGGGGGAGACCGGAAGCGTATACTATACCACCGACTGTACGGTGCCATCCGTACAGTCGGTGACATTTTTGCATTTTTTATGGAAAACGTGGCTTCTTTTGAATGAGCATTAACGCAATTTTGTTGAGCATCATGTCTGTTCTTTTGAGTAATAGGAGCCTAACGGTGAGCATCAATGATGTCTGCTTCATACCTTATACATCACTTTCTGTTTATTATTTTTCGTTTATTAAAAAGTCTTAAGTTATGTCTATAATCAATTTCAATTACTTTTAATATGTGAATCTAATGTAATATGATATGTTTGAAATGCACAACCTTTTAAAATGAGCATAAAGCAGTACTACATGAGCACACATAACTTACAAAACGAGTATAAAAAAATAAAAAACGCATTTATGTGTGCTCATTCATTTTGAACGTTATACTCATGTGAATTTAACATAAAACTCATTTCTAATGTAGTATGATATGTTTGAAATGTGTAACCTTTTAAAATGAGCATAAAGCAGTACCAAATGAGCACACATAACTTACAAAATGAGTATAAAAAAATCAAAAAATGCATTTGTGTGTGCTCATTCATTTTGAACGTTATACTCATGTGAATTTAACATAAAACTCATTTCTAATAGGGGTGGGCGCGGTCCAGTCCGGTCCAATATTTGGCTGAACCCGTACCCGTACCGTTACTATTCAAACGGTTCGGTTCGGTTCGGTCTTAGACCTAAACCCATTCGGTACGGTTCCATTTTCAAACGGGACGGTACCATGCTATACCAATACCAAACAATGTCATTTTTTTCCAAGTGTTTAAGAGAAAATTAAAGTTTAGTCATCCTACATAAATCCACACAATTTATCAATTTTCATACTCCCTCCATCCCAAATTGATAAATTGATATGCAAAGTCAATATTTTTTTGTCAATCAATGTTAAAGTTAATTCATCTTTATCGATAATTAATTCATTTTTTAACAATTAAAATTTACATATTCAAAAACCACATTAAAATCTCTTCAAAGTTGCAAACTCGAAATTAAATATAATTAAAATTTGACATCCTAATTAAGTGAATAAAATGAAACTATTTAACCAAGAAAAGTTAATTTTGCAAATCAATTTGGAATTGAGGTAGTATTACATAATTGATAAATTTCAGATGAACTATAATAGTACTAATTTAAATAATTAAACCTTACATTGATCCGGTTCCAGACTTCCTATGAACTAGCAAAGGCGCTGAAAGTGTGAAGGCACTAGTCAAAGTAATGGTGTAAATGTAAATTTAATTAATTATAAATACTTCGGTCCGGTAGCGATTTTCATTTTATGAGAACCGATCATGGCATTGTTTAGAACCGGTACGGTCCGGTTCGGGACAAAAAAATTGAGATCCGTTTCAAACCCTGTTTTGCGGTTCGGTACCATACCAGTTCGGTTCGGTACCATGCCGGTTCGGTATTTTTGCCCACCCCTAATTTCTAATGTAATATGATATGTTTGAAATGTGCAACCTTTTAAAATGAGCATAAAGTGATTCCAAATGAGCATACATAACTTACAAAATGAGTATTAAAAAATTCAAAAGCTCATTTGTGTATGCTCATTCATTTTGGGCACGACACTCATTTGAGTTTAACATACAAACTCAGTTCTTATGTGTCAATATTCATCTGTGAATATTCATTCCTTTTAGACATTAAACTCATTTGCCTTTAATATTAAACTCATTTCGATACAAACAGATCCACAAAGAGCTTTCAACTCCTTTCCCTTCTTCTTTCTATAAGCCAGCCCAGAAACAGGGGGTGTGAAGAATTGAATCTCAGGTCAAAAGCGAAATCCACGTTTCACTGCGCCAATTAATCAGAGTATGTGGCGGCTTGGGTTGCTTCGCAAGTTGGAGACCTGGGAAGTTGATGTTCCGTCTTCATCGATGCCCTTCTTCTTCGCAGATGAGTTGCAGCGCAGAGATTAATTACAAAAAACCCGGCTGTACCGTGTGCACGGTACAGCTGGCTGTACCGTGTGCACGGTACAGCCCGCTGTACCATGGAATTTACGGGGGAGACCAGCTTCTGAAAACTGATTCTGATTCTGCTTCTGCTTTAAAAAGGAAGTAGAAGAAGAATCAGTTCCAAACACCCTTTATAGTGTTTGAGCTAAAGTGAGCCAAACACCCCTTAGGGTTGGTTTGCAACTGCTTTTAAAAAAGCACTTCTCAGCTTTTGGCTTTAAAAAAACACTTAGGGCCTGTTTACTAACAGAGATATTTTCCTGTTTTCTACTTCTGTTTTTCGTTCTCCAATTTTCTGTTTTATTTTTCAGTTTTTCTATCTCCAATTTTCTGTTTCTATTTTTTAGTTTTCCATTTTCAAATCTGAAAACATGTTCATCAATTTTTTCACCCAGTTCTCCAATTCCACACCCTTGACCCCTACCCTTACCACGATCTTACACTCTACCCATACTCCCCCACAACCCTTCATACCCACCCATACCTACTCGTAGGGGTCGGGGTGGGGAAGTTATGTGTGGGGGTGGGGTAAGGGGTATAGTCGGGGTGGGGTGATAAGGTCTAGGGTAGGGGGGTGGGTGGGGGTAGTTGGTGGGTTAGGGTCGTGGTTAGGGGTAAGGGTGGGGTAGTGGGTAGGGTTTGGGGTAAGGTAGAGGTATGGTATGGAGTTGGGATAAGATGACGGTAGGGTGGAGCCGGGACCACGGTGGGGCTGAGGTAGGGAAGGGGTAGGGGGTGGGGGTATGATGGCGGTAAGGGTGGGGGTAGTGGGTAGGGTTGGGGTAAGGTAGGTGTAGTGGGATATGATGACGATAGGGTGGGCCCAGGATCTGGGTGGGGCCGAGGTAGGGAAAGGGTAGGGTGGGGGGGTAGGATGGTGGTCGGATGGCGGAAGGGTGGGGGTAGGATGGCGGTACGAGGGTGGGGGTAGGATGGCGGTGGGGTGGGGCCGAGGTAGGGGCATGTGGTAAGGGGTAAGGGGTAATATACGAGTGGGGGTAGGGTAGGGTGGGGTCGAGGTGGTAGGAGGTGGCGGTAGGGTAGGGTGGATCGGGGTGGGGTAGGGCCATTATAGGGAAAAATGGGTATGCGGGGTGGGGTTGGGTGGGTAAGGTAGGGTAGGGGTAAGGGGTAAGGTACGAGGATGGAGGTACCAGAATGGAATCGACATCGGAGCGGGACCGGACCCACCACTAAGTGTAATTATGCAAATTCATTGCAGCAGCACTGTAGCATCTGCGTTTTCCAAATTTGGAAAACTAATAAAAGTCACTTCTCCAAATCATTAAGGAAAAGAGAGACATGTCTCATTTTTTCCGTTTTGGAAAACGATTTGGAAAACGCGTTTTTCTTTTTTCCTTTATCCAGTTTTCCAGGAATTTCTTTGGTAAACACGTTTCCTTTTTTCTGTTTTCTAGTTTTTCAGTTTTCTGGAAAACTGGAAAATATCTCTGTTAGTAAACATGCCCTTATTTTTTCAAACACTACAACTTTTATTTTTCTCGGCTTCCGCGTCAAAAGTGCTTTTATTTTTTCTATTACACAAAAAACACTTATTTTACCAAACACTATCCACTCTTACTTTTCAAAATCACTTTTTTCTCCAACACTATCAACTTTTATTTAATCACTTTCTTCTCATTTCACTAAAAAAAGCACTCTTTTAAAAGCATGAGGTGTTGCAAATGGTTGAGGTAAAGCGAGTGCCCTCAAATTGTGGAAGTAGAAAGAAGAATGGTCCAAAGAGGCAGGCAGTAAGCAGAAGAACTGAAAAGAAGCTCCGCTATGCCCAGCTGTCCCCAAACAGAACAGATCTCTTTCTTTCCATCTATCTGTGGAGTGTGAAGGTTCTCCGTCGTCCCTCTCCACTCTCCTGCAGAATAATCCCTTCCCATCGCCCGGAATCGCCTCTGCCAGCTTCTTGTTAACGGTTAACCACAACTCGAGTCCTTGCTCCGTCTGCTGTGCATCTAAAAAGTTCCACTCCGAATTATCCCTGTGTGTATCCCCGTGTGCCCGAGGCCCTCTGACCTCATATCCGATCAACCATACGCCTCGTTACTACACGTTCCTGAGGTGTATCTTAGTGTCTGCAACACGATTTCTCTCCCGGTTAGGCTTGAATTCTTTTTCAATGGTTGGGAAGTTGATTAGCGTCTTCATATAAGTATAATTACTAATCAGCGTGTCAAATTAATCATTTTTAATCACATCACTAATTTCCTACATTTTTTTTAGTTTCCTATTTTTTCCAGTTACAAATGATCAGTAATAATAATTCTGTATTTCCATATGATTTTTGGATGGTGATGCTATTTGTGTGCCAAGATACTTATTTCTTCATTGGAGCTTGGTATAATCTATTGTATATTTATATATGGCACGTATCTATCACATGAAGCAAGTATATTAATTTTAAATTTTTGTGTGTTGGATAATTATTTGGAGGGTTATGCAGTGATTTCTGCAATGCACCGCGTAGCGAGTGTAGGTAATACTTCCAACTCAAGTAGGCCTCGGAAGGAGAAGAGGCTGACTTATGTACTGAATGATGCAGATGATACTAAGGTGACTCTAATTTCATTTTAATTCTTCCTCCTGTTTTATGGGGTTTGAAAGCTCTTCTTTTGGCAAAATGAATTATCCCTACGAATCTTGTCTAAAGTGTATTAATTAGAACTTAGAAAGGTGACAATGAAGGAATATATCTCATTTCTTATCTGAATGGATTTTTCATAGTCTTCGTAAAATGATTTTTTGTCCCCAAAAAGAGTTGGATCTCAACAAAAGAGCCCAAATTGCCGGTTGAGCAACTCTTCTTCAATCAGATAGTGTTTCTTCCTACGTTCTCTTTGTGGAGACCGTACACACTTCTGTAGGAAGCAACTCCGGTTGAGCTCCGTCCTCAAAATCTGAATTGATTTTTAAGCCTTGTTAGGGGAATGTAAGGCTACAGCCTTTGAGGCGGAGACCGTACGCTCTTGCGCCTTTGCGCGTCAGATGTGTAAAGGCTAAACGCCTTTTAAAACCATGGTCAGAGGAGAATGTGATATAAATTATCACAAAGTAGTGAAAATGTAGCACGGGGCAGGGGGAATGAGTTGTGCACTTTATCATAGTTTTCAAGTCATTTTTTTCATGGGAAAAGAATAATGAGGGTCATGGAGGGGTGTTTTATATAACATATACCTCTCTAATGTCATGGGCATCACTTTTAAAGGGGAAAATCGTGTCTAAAGAACACACTTTGACTCATGCTACTTCCAGGAGTTTCACCTGACACCTATCCCCATTTTTATTTATAATAATATAGCCATATCCGGCCCATATAGGCTATCATTAGTCATTACTTTAATATTTCTCACAGAGATGATTGAAAGAAGTATACTGCTAACTACATACAGGCCCAGATTACAAACTTTACTACAAAATCATCTGAAGTCTGTAAGAGGTGAAAACGGAAAGCCAGCCGCTGTTTTTGTGTGTAAAGTGTGCATTCTCTGTCATACAGTTTCTTTTATGTTGAGGTCCTTCAACTCCCTCAATTATATGATATTAAAGTTTTCGTACGTTTCTCATCTTCACATGCTAACAGATGTTAGTATAATATCCGATATCCGCGATCCAATTTTTGGGTTCTAAGCTCTTTATTTAAGCACCCCCCAGTAGTATTCACTTGAGGGATTGTTTGGATGTTTCATTTGTGAAGATAAACCATGATATTTGTACATTGTGCCAATTACATTGCCCCTTTTTATTGTCTCATTTCCTAAAATGGTTAAAATTAAACAAAAATAAATACTACGTGTGTTTTTCCTTCACTAATAAGTAATAACACTAATGAAACAAATGGGCCAAGATAAAAATGCTTTTTATTAACATTGCGCAAAAACGTGTTTGGGACATTATCTTCTGGAAGAAGGTAATACATTTTAGAATGACCCCGTTGAATCTGGATCAACACTTGGTTGTGTCTGTCGTATTTATACATCTCATCGTTTTGAATTTGTCAGTGCCATTTTTTATTACGGCCCTCTGATTGGTATACAATTTCCTCACTTAACGCTAGTTTTATTTGGAATCTGAAATGCATGTTAATCATTCTAATTTGTATTGGACCACATTAATTTATTGACCTTTTATACTAAATAGAAGCGGCTCTAGTAGTCCATCCATGGATTGCATATGTTGCAAGAGAAGTGTTAAATTTTTTGCCATTTGGTTTATTTGCAGCACTGTGCTGGTGTCAATTGCTTGGCAGTATCAAACTCAGCTGTTACTGATAAGCATGACTACATATTTACTGGGAGTCGTGATGGCACATTAAAAAGATGGACTTTGGCTGAAGATGGTGCCACGTGCTCTGCAACGTTTGAGTCCCATGTTGATTGGGTATCTACCATTTTCATTTTCACTACCATTGCCTAAGCGTTCTTTTAAGCTATGTCAAGCCTGACATTACTCGTTTATTTTCCTTTTTTTGGACTTGCTGCTACCTTTTATGATTTGCATATCCCATTTGCTTTTAAGTTTTAACAATCATTTTTTTAAAATTTAACCTCGAAAGTTAATTTATGAACTCTAAATTCAAAAGATCACCTCATTTACCTTCTGGTGATAAGAACAGGTGACTGTTATGAAACAGTTGTTCATAATTTCTTAGAAAAATTGCTTCTAAGTCAAATTTTGTTTCATCCCTTTCCCTCCTACTTCTATGTATTTTTCAAGTGTTTCGGAGTCATCTTCTGCATTTTATGTTTTGGGGTTTGCTAAGTAGTAATTATGCAGGTAAATGATGCTGTTCTAACAGGTGGTAACACATTAGTGTCATGCTCCTCGGACACTACAGTCAAGGTATATCCTTCACTTGAAATTCTTTGACGCCCCTTGCCCCTTAAAATTCATATCTGTATCTATATGGCTATGCTTATCTTTTCATTTTTACTGGATGTTCAGGTATGGAATAGCTTGTCTGATGGGACTTGTGCTGGGACACTTCGTCAGCATTCTGATTATGTCACATGCCTTGCTGCAGCAGAAGAAAATGTAAATTCAAATGAGGAATGCTTCCTTTAATTATTAACTGTGGTGCATGGTTATTGCATATATTGCTTCAATTTGAACATGCACATCAATCTTGAGGCAAAGTCTGCATTTGGTTTCCATTAATTATTTTCTGACCCTCATTCCTGTAATATTTCATGATAGAAAAACATTTTCGCCTCTGCTGGCCTTGGTGGAGAAGTTTTTGTATGGGATCTTGAAGCAGCACTCGCTCCCATCTCTAAGATGATTGATGGCAATGAAGATGAATGTTCTAATGGTGTCACGAGTTCAGGAATTTCGTTACCCGTTACAAGTCTCCGACCTACTAGCTCAAGCAACAATATTTCATCACATACTACTCAGTCCCAAGGGTATGTTCCTACTGCTGCAAAAGGGCACAAGGAGTCAGTTTATGCATTAGCTATGAATGAGACAGGGACTCTACTTGTGTCTGGTGGAACTGAGAAGGTATATTCTAGTAGGATAGCTACTTCTAGTTTGTGAGTTCTGAAGTGACGGCTAGCTGTTATCTTTTGAGATTTTGGTTTCCCCTATACTATGGTCGCAGCTGAAAGATGCATCACTTATTTTCTTATACATTTCTTAGCATTTTCTTAATGATTTCATAATTTTAAGATCTTTGGATTTTTAGGCTTGTCTATAAGACTATAACAGAAGTAGGAGATGACCATTGAATTCATTTTCATACCTTTATTTTTATTTGAGTTACGGAATTTCTGGTTCGTGGTACAATTTTTTGACTTATTTTTATAGGTTATACGTGTTTGGGATCCAAGGACGGGATCAAAGACTATGAAACTAAGAGGGCATACTGATAATATTAGAGCACTGCTTCTGGATTCTACTGGCAGGTTTGTTGGACATTAGCTTTTGGCTGTCAATGTTTCTATGGCCTGATGGTATCATGGTATCAAATCAAAATTGCACTATGTGATCAGAAAGTGTGCAAGAGAAAAGTCCAAAGATGCTACAATACTAGAGATTGCCTTCTAAATCCCCATATCCATATTCTCCAAAAGAAGTAAAAAGAATCATATCTTAGATTCTAGCTAATATATGATGGAGTAACTTATTCTTTGTGGATTGATTTATTATTAGTCGAATGAAATTTGAAAGTTATCTGCTGCTTCACAATCCTAAAGAAGCAAAAGAAATTATAGCTTGGTTCCCTACTTCACAACAACCTAAGAATTGTAATAAGGAATTGTAAAGTGCTAACTTGAAGCTTCCTGGCAATGTGCAAGTATTTTGGTGGTAAAGGGGACACTATGCATTGTTCTAAGACAGTCCAATTTGTCTATTTGACGTGTTCGTTTTGGTTGTATGCCTGTGTGTTGTTTGACTAACCTAGTGGTTTTGAGTGATAAAGCTTCATCAATGACCAATTGCAGGTTCTGCCTATCAGGATCATCCGATTCAATGATCAGGTAAACATAAGTAATTAACATAAATAGCTATGTATGAGTCAAAAGGTTATCTATTGCACATGCATACTTCATATTAGTTGAATTTCATTTTTGTATCCTATATGATATGTATTGTAGTACCAAAAAGGATATTTTTAATGAGTTTATAAATGGTTTCTTGTGAATTTGCATGTTTTTTCCTAGTTTCCTTTATTAGCCAATAAATTAGGAAGTTGGAAACTTATGGAGTTCATTTCCTGCCAGGAAGTGAAATCAATTATACCACAAAGAAAATCCTGTTTATCACTTTATCCTAATCCGTTTTGTCTTATCCATCACAAATTTAACTTGAAATTCTTAAATTAATGTAGACTATGGGATCTTGGCCAACAGAGATGTGTGCATTCCTATGCTGTGCACACAGATTCTGTTTGGGCACTTGCTAGCACTCCAACATTTAGTCACGTCTACAGTGGTGGAAGAGACCTATCTGTATGTTCAAATTGTGTTAACCTCAATAAATACTGTTTATTTCATTTTCCTAGTCTCTACCTATTATATATCAGTCTCCTTTAAGCTGTACTTTTTTTTATTGTAGTTATACTTGACAGACCTGGCAACACGAGAGAGTGTACTACTTTATACAAAGGAACACCCAATCGTGCAATTGGCATTGCATGATGATGGTATCTGGGTTGCAACAACTGATTCTTCTGTACATAGATGGCCAGCAGAAGTGCACAATCCTCTGAAAGTTTTTCAAATAGGAGGTTCATTCTTGGCGGGAAATTTGTCATTTTCTAGGGCAAGGATTTCGTTGGAGGGATCAACACCTGTACGTCATCATTACTCTTCTTAAGTTTCTCATGTGTTTCAAAGTGGTTTGATCACCTATGTATTCATCTTCAGGGACCTGTGTTACCTTTGCTTAACAAGTTCACCATAATTTGGTTTTGGCATTATTGCTCTTCCGGACAACTTTGTTTCATTTTTACAATTGAAAAAAAAGAAAAATAATAATTGAATAAGTTGTTCGTGGAAGTTATGTGATATGGCTCCTCTCTACCTTTTTTCTTATTTGAGTTTATGCCCAGGAAAACTAAAATGAAAAACAATAAGAAAAGAAATGAACACAAGGGAGTGAGGGACTATGAAATGGTATGTACATATAGTGCAAGCTTCGAGGTTTTGTTTTTAAATAATTGTTCTTTTTTTTTGGGGGGGGGGCTTCTAGAAACTACAATCTGTGAACATTCTCTGTGATTTCTCAGATCTTTCATTTTGACTGGATGAAATGGTATAGTACATAACTTCTGAGCCATCTAATGAGTACACCTATTGACCTATGCAATCCACATCTTCAGAAAAAGATAATAGTAATTTTTAATGTTTAAAAGAAAGTCTTATGTTTTTGTTATGACAAAAATCCTAGTCATAGCTCACTTGTCATTTTTGGTATAAAGAGAGTACACCTAATGGTCCCCCCTTTTGGTATAAAGAGAGTACACCTAATGACCTAAGCAATCCACATCTTCAGTAAATGATAATAGTAATAATGTTTAATGTTTAAAAGAACGTGTTATGCTTTTGTTAAATCTGTGGTCTTTCTGTTTCTATAACTAGTGGTTGGCTGGTTCGGTTAAATGGAGAATCAATTTTGAAGAGTTGATGTGCTGCTTAGTAATCATTATCAAGTTTCTCCTTATGTGCTTGTCAATCTGTTCCTGTGAATCCTCGTCATTGCTATGCTCATTGTACTTCGCTCTGTTATTCTGAGGTGTAATCTTTGAGATCTTTGAGAGCATGAAAATGACTGTCACAAAACTCTGCAGGTGCCTGTTTATAGAGAACCGTCATGTAGTATCCCTGGGACTCCAGGAATAGTTAAGCATGAAATTCTAAACAACAGAAGACATGTCCTTACAAAGGTAATAATAAACATTAGGGTTAACTTCCCATATTGGTCCTTGCGTTTTTGATGTTTGCACTCTGATACTTAACTCTGTCTTTCCAAGGATACTGCTGGCGCTGTGAAATTGTGGGAAATCACCAGGGGCACTGTGATTGAAAATTTTGGTGAGGTTAGTATGAAATGATTTAATTCCTTCCCAGAATGTAATAATATGATTTTAGTTTGATATAATCTCCCTTTTCTGCCTTTTCAAATTCTTCCCCCCCCCCATGTCTACTGACTAGGTTTCGTTCGAGAAGAAGAAAGAAGAACTTTTTGAGATGGTGGGAACCCGTTATCTAATAGTTAATAGTAAGCACTTACTGAGGTTTCCACTTGGTTCTCCTTTCAACTTATGTTTCCTTCTCCAGGTAAGCATACCTGCGTGGTTTACCGTGGATACGAGACTTGGAAGCTTGTCTGTACATTTGGATACACCACAATGCTTCTCTGCTGAGATGTACTCTGTGGACCTTAACATTGCTGGGAAGCCCGAGGATGACAAAGTATTTACTAGGATTTTTGTGTGTTTCACTTTTTGATTCATATTGCCTTGTGTATCATCATGTTTTTTTCTTATGTCACTCCTTGAAGGGAAATATGCATAGTAACAAATTGTACCAATAACATGGATTAAGGTATAACAATTGAGATGTATGATCAAGTACTCTGAGCTAGGTTTAGATGATATTATGATAATAGTTATGCTAATTATCGCTAAGTACTCATAAAATACTCATGTAATTAAAATGAGAACTTAAAACAAAAAACAACTCCATATATGGTAACAATTGATTTATTAACTCCTAGAGTCCTAGTACACGTATTACTCAGACCAGTAAAGTTAAATCATCCTCAAATCAAGAATATTGATATTCATTTTTTTCTTCTTATGTGGATGATCTATTCGTGGATAAACTTGTAGGCTAAGTGATGTGCCTTCTCATGTTTTCAGGTTAAATTATAAAGTTTCTGTTTAAATAGCTTTGTGATTTAAGTAGAACTGATACCCACTTTGCACTCTTCTAAAATTGACCAAGTGACGTTCCTTCGAATGGTTCCTTTTTAAATTACCTTGCAGTTTTTCTGTTCAAGTAGCTTTGTGATATAAATAGAACTGATTCCCAGTATCTCCTACTTATGTAATAGATTAACTTGGCGCGGGAAACCCTTAAAGGTCTTTTGGTTCATTGGTTAACCAAAAGAAAGCAGAGATTTGGATCCACAGTGTCAGGAAATGGGGAAGTCCTGCCTGGGAAAGACATCTCTACTAGGAATTTAGCTGTATCAAGAGTTGAGGCAGATAGTAACACAGATAATGATTCTGTTGTTTATCCACCGTTTGAGTTTTCAGCACTTTCCCCTCCATCTATCATTACGGAGGGCTCTCAAGGCGGGCCATGGAGAAAGAAAATTACAGACTTAGATGGAATGACAGATGAGAAGGACTTCCCATGGTGGGTCCTGGACTGTGTGTTGAACAATCGCCTTCCTCCGAGGGAAAATACCAAGTGTGTTTAATTTCTAACTGTTTTCATTTCTTGTATTGATTTTTCTTGGTTTTGATGTTGCTAGGAATCTAGAAAATTTTGGAGTTATTTCCACTCTTGGATAATGACAATGCATTAAATTTTTATTAGATTGAGGAACCCTTTCAAAAACATTTTTAGATCACATCTTATTACTGGAAATATATAGTCATACTTAATTAATCTCAGTGATACTTATTACTGGAAATATATATTCATACTTAATTAATCTCAGTGATACTTATTACTGGAAATATATATTCATACTTAATTAATCTCAGTGATACTTATCAGGGGAAATACTTGTTTCATACTAAATAAATCTCAGTGATACTTATTACTGAAATATGTATGCATACGTATTACTGGAAATATATATTCATACTTAATTCTCACTGATAATTAATCTCAGTATCTACATACTTAAAAGGGTATTGGAGCTCTTACCACGGAAAATCTATGTTTTATGAGAAGAAACACATTTCCTGTAATAAAATACAATCTAAAAAGAAGACCTATGGCTTTCTCTAATGCAGTTATGTTTAATGATTTGCGTCATTCCAATCTTGTAATGATGATGGCGGTTTTATATATTCATCTAATTATTCTTTTTAGTTAGATTATGACGGTTTTATACAGATATATATATTTTTGCCTGAATTTTTAGTGTTTGAGCTAATTTTAGATTAATTGATACCTTAAATTCCATGTGGTCCACCCCCATTTGTTGGGACTAAGGTTCTGATGATGACGTATTGATGTCTATCTCATAGGAGCATGACTAAACTTTCATTTTCGTAGCAGTGTCAGAATTATTTTCTCAGCTCTTTATTGTATAATCTATTTCTGCAGATGCAGCTTTTATTTGCATCCATGTGAGGGTTCTAGTGTTCAAATACATACTCAAGGAAAACTGAGTGCCCCACGTATCTTGAGAGTTCATAAGGTAAGAGGTTTTTACATGCACTTTAATTCAGATGAAAAATTAGTTCTAGAGATCACTTTGACATTCTTTTGATTTTTTATACCCCCTCCACCTAAAAGACTCCTGTTTGGCCAAGGTACAACTTTGTAATTTTGGAAAGGTAGATTTGTTAATAGTTTTGAAATCCCTCTGATTTTTAAAAGTGGAGGGCGCATATTTGTGTGGAGGATTGATCTCTTTTCTCTCTCGTTTTCTTTTATCCTCTTTACCTTCTTTATCTTTCTTATGTTCTTATGTTATTTTTATCTTTTATCTTTCTTATGTTCTTTTGTCTTATCTTTATCTTTATTTCTCCTTTTTATCTTACCTTATCTTTTTCTTATTTTTCTTTTGTTTTTGGCTCCAATATCTATAGAAGAATCTAGACAAAGAAAAGTCTAGACAACCGTTACACAATTGATTAGAGTCGTCAGTTACAAATATTTGTATTTAATATTATAATTAGTAGCCTGCCTTATTAATCCCTAGAATATTGTATAAATAGCAACTCATTTCATGGAATAAACTAAGTTATTCAGTCTCAATCCTTCTTATTCTAAATTCCATTAATATCATGGTTTGATTCATGTAATCCGGGCCCCAAAATCTTTTGGGAATAAGGCCCCCCCATCGATCTGAATAATAGGTCTCAACTCAGGAGGAATTACTGGTAATAGACATAAAACCATCCATTCTGGTTCTATATTTGTTCGAATAAAATGTTTAGCTAAGTCTATCCGTCTAACCAAAAAATCCTTTCGTCTTGTAGCTTTTCGATCTTCCCATTCATTCCCTGTGCGCTTTTCTTCCCCCAAATCTTTCCATTCTAGTAATGAATTTTCTGCAAGCATTCGTAAATCTAAAGGAGCTTCCCCCAACATCTTTTGGATGTTGTTGATTGATTGATTTAACCAAATATCATATTTAAATTGTTTGTATTTTTTTTGGCAATTTTCCTTAAAAAGGAGCTTCCTTTGACAAAATCATACTCCTTTTTTGGGATGTAGGGATGTATTAGTTTATCTATCACAATGTGGTTGCATGAAATGGAAACTAAGAACATGATATAAATGAGAGGACATGACATTAAGTTACATAGAAAGGACTTCAGCACTTCAAATGGGAGAATAGTACTCCCTCCGTATTTCAAAGATCACTACGTTTGGTTATGGCACAAGATTTAAGGTAGAATAGTAAGGGTAATGAATAGTATATATAAAGTAGGAGAGAAGATGAAAAAGTAGGAAAGAGAGGATAAAAAGTAGAAAAAGTAAGGGTAATTGAGTATTTTTAAAGGAAAAACATACCAAAAAGGGAAAGTGTTGGGAACTTTTAAATACATCCTAAAAAGGAAAGTGTAGGGAACTTTTAAAGACGGAGAGAGTAGTTTCTATGTCATTCATTTTGTGCTACCATTTGATCCTTTCTACAATTGTCTCATGTAAATGATAAATATACTCTGTATAATTCCATCTTAATTTGACGACTAATGTTTTTTTAAATATTCTTTATAAAGGTAATCAACTATGTCATTGAAAAGATAGTTCTCGATAAGCCGCAACTGGATAGCTTGAATTCAGATGGAACTTTTGTTTCTGGAGGATCTGGCCCAGCTGTTGGAGGAGATGTTGCCTTCAGGGCAGGCCTTAAGCCTTTTCAAAAGCTTAAGCCTTGTATTGAGATATTGTGCAGCAACCAGGCAAGTTTAAGAAAAAAAGAACCCCATCAATTGACTGATTTTGTTGTTTCTATAATGCATTATATGGATCCTATATTTTTTGGAAGAGCATTGTATGAATCCTATTTGTTTTTGTTTTTGGTAGAGCATATTGTATGAATCCTTAATATTGCATTAAAGGACTTAAGTACTTAACTAAGTATGTGTCTGCAAATCTAAAGCTTTAGAACATATTCTAATTGTGTTACAGTATGGTGCTTCTGCAAGCCTCTTAATCATCTACCTTGGGGATGGATTTCTAGTTCATTTTACTATAATGTGATCGTCAAACTTAAAATTGTTTGTGTTCCAAATTTAAAGAACACGGCCGTGCAATGCATTTTTTCTAATCAAGCAATATGGATGTTATAGAAAAACCGAGGCAAATTCTCAAATGATTGTGAGTTCATAATGGCATAGTAGAAAATGTTATTGAAGAAAAATATGGGTAGAAGGAGAGACTTCAGACTTGTTGCTTTTGTTTTTATTTATTCACTGTATTCCAAATGAGTAGGAGATATATTTCTTACAAATAAAACAAACTTGTTCTTTGTTAGGTATTATCTCCTGACATGAGCTTAGCCACAGTTCGGGCTTATATATGGAAGAAACCTGAAGACCTTGTTCTCAATTATCGGATAGCTCCAAGCAGGTGACTCAGGGTACTCTGGTCTCAGGTTGGTCTGCTTTCCACCATATTTGTTGAGTTGGGAAAAAACTTTTTTTCTCTAATGGCACATAGCAATGACTGGGGGGGATCAACCGCAAACACCCGACTCAGTCTGATTTAAAAAACCTAGTTACTTGGGAGAGTACTCCATGACTAACTCAGTTGTAGCTAAATGTGAAAATTACAATCAAGTAATTTGAGGACATTTCAATTCGATAAAAATACCTTTCAAGGTCTTGAACTTTTAATAGTTCGTAAAACTACAAACTCTTACTCTAGATGTGTCGGGGACATGGAGGAATTTGCAGATAAATCTGACCGAGCTAAATGATAATTAGTGTAGGATATAAGAAGATATGATTTGTTAGATGTGGTGGGATCTTCTTTAAATGCATGAGTCATGCTTTGCATTGTGGCTATTGTTTGGCAATTTGTGTATATAAGAATTACGTAGTACTACCTCCGTCCTACTAACATTTGGACAAGAGGGGGTGGCATAGTTAGGGGTGAGCACAGGTCCAAGACCGGATCGGACTGGAACCGAAATTCTAAAAGAAAGTGGACCAAAGAACGGACCTATATAATTCCGGTCCAGGACCGGACCGGACCGGATTATTCCAGGGTTTTCCGGTCTGGACCGGTATTGGACGGATTTTTTTTTACAATGTTCATCTTTTAAAAAAATAGTTTGATTGTCCAAAAATTTACTTATTAGCTTGTTCTTTCTACTACAGAGGATCATTTTATGATGTTTTACATGTAATTATATCTAATTTACTCTTTTATATGTATGATTTGCATTTTTATGTGTTTTTTAATCAATATAATATAATGTACATTATAATACATGAAATAAGTAGAAATAAACACATAAACTATGCCTAGTGGAAATATGAAAACTATTTGATTCAATTTTGACTTTTTAAATTTTTGTGAATGACCATATTAGTACGGGAAACTAATGTTCTTGCTCCATTAATTTAGTGAATGATTTGACTCAATGATTTAAAAAAGAAGAATTCAAATAATCACTCTATGTATTATGATTAAAACTAATAAACATAAGTAAATATAATGCACCTTTATATTCCAACTCCTAGTGCTTTTATACTACAAAATTTTACTAGTGTATATAATTCTACGTACGGAGTATGTAGCTTGAGTTAATGCCTAAGGTATTGTATCACTTAATTAATGTACTTTTTAAAGTAAATTAATTAGTGTACTATATACGAAGTATGTGTTTGTGTGTATAGAAATTTAATACACACACACACACACACACACATATATATATAATTTAATTCCGGTCTAACCGGTTTGGACCGGAATATTCCAGGTTTTGGACCGGACCGGAATCGGTGAAACCCTTGGACCGAAGACCGGACCGGTATCTATCCGGTCCGGGTCCGGTCCGGGTCCAACCGGTCCGGACCGGATTATGCTCAGCCCTAGGCACAGTTATTAAGAAAAGTGAGTTTATGTGGTTGATATTGAATTGATAAAGTAAGAATAAAGTAAAAATGATTTAGAACCACACAAACTTTACCAATTTTTGGTATGGGGCAATCTTAGTGGGATTTCCTGAAAAGGAAAAGTGGGACAATCTTAGCAGGACGGAGGGAGTATAAGACTAATATTATTGAAGATTTGTATTATTCTATAATGCACGAAAACGCCAGGAGGGGTGAGTTCCCCCGTATCGGAAACGTACAGACGTTTCCAAACGTGAGAAATGCCTTATATGGGTGTCGGGGCCGGATATTAGTTTTGGGAAAGTTGGAAACTCGTTTCCCTCTCAAAAAAGAGTTTCAGAAATTTAGGTTGGGGCAGTTTTACATTCACATGATCTGGAAGCCCAAACAAATACAACTTAGAGTTTAGTAGGATTAAACTTCTCATCTTCAACCCGTCTTGTTCAGCACTGCGTCGGCTTCAGCATCTTGGTGAGCAGGTTGTCGTCTTCAGCAATTTACGGTAACCTCAAACTCTTAAATCGCTCCCCTTCTTCTGCAAACCGGTCCGTCTCTTTACCTTTGCTCTTCTTCTCGGTCAGTAATAGAATACTGCGCATCTGTATAATATATTGGCTAATGGCTATACAATTTTGAGCTTTGTAAATATATGCTTCATAAATTCGCACATAGCCTATAACCCAATATTTAATTGTGAATGTCTGATAGTGAGTGACTGGGTGTAGATTGCCAGATTAGTGGATGTAGATTAAAAGTCAAATTTAATAGTGATGATGACGGATGATGTTATTCCACTACCAAGGACTTACGGATTAATATTTGAATAATTTTTACAGTTCAATATGGTGAGTCATTATTACTTTTTAGGATGAAATAATCTTGTGTGGCATGTTTGTACTTACGTATGTATATATATACATATATATGTGTGTGTATATACATATAAATACTATTTATAAAATAACCCCTATATTTTTTTATATTTACGTGTTTCCCCCATGCTTTGTTTCTTGTATTTTTGAAAGATGGCATTTCCGACGTTTCCAGTTTCCTGTGTCTGTGCCACTTAGGTATTACTACCTCCGTTCCACTAACATTGGGACATGAGAAGGTTGCGCGATTATTAAGAAAAGTGAGTTTACGTGGGTGATATTGAATTGATAAAGTAAAAATAAAGTTATAATGATTTAGAGCCACACAAATGTTACCAAATTTGGTATGGGACCATCTTAGAGGGACTTCTGGAACTTCCTGAAAAGGAAATTTTTTCTGGAGTATTTTTTACTTATATGGATATCGAGCCTTGATCCTCCAAGTATGGTGCTGCATGTGACCAAGAGGTCAGTAGGTCACATGGGAGTAGCCTCTTGTCAAAATGACTAATGAAGTTTTGCCCCTGGTCCCTGTACACTCTTGTGGTGGGACGTTTCCCCAGACACTCGCCAATGTGCACCGAGCTGACCACCAAAGACTCCTCAATTATGGGGATCCTATTCACCACTAGGCCTTTGACCAAGTAGCTATCAAGTAATTACGTAGCTCAGTTAGCTGATCACAACCGTTTTTCTTAACATCTCCCGTTAAGCCTCGCACATTGCTAGGCACCAGGCTTGGTCTGCTGTTAGCGCTTTTCAGGGTCTATTTTGATGGAGGATTTTGTCGAGGAAGATCATGCTGGGTTTATTAGACTACCTTTATATATACTAGTAAACTCACCCGTGCGATGCACGGTTTGAGAATTTTTCTTTCAAATTTATGTGTGCTTAGTAATTCAAATCACACTATTGACATCATTTATCTTTATGTAATACTGATATACATCAAAGCATTAAATGAAACACACTTATAATGTTATGGTCAAAATGAGATTACTAAGCATTACTTAAAAGATAAAAAACATCCAACAAATACGTTGAAACCATAACATTGTAAATATGCATTGAAATCGATGTGCTCACAATACTAAAGAATTACTTCCGGGTACTTCTTATTAGCCTCCATCCATGTTGTGAACACACTGTCCTTAACTGAACATTGAACATAGGGCTGCACATCGGTCGGGTCGGGTCGGGTTTGCTAAAAAAATTGACCCTACCCAATTTAATCGGGTTGGCTATTAACCAACCCGTGATATGTAAAATTAGTTGACAACCCATACATGGATGGGTCGGGTAGGGTCGGGTAAACAAAAATAAAATCATTGCTTAATGATCCTTAATGCACTTATGAAGCATTTACGGTTTTGTACTTCTATTTTGTGAACTGTGAAGAAAAAGCAAAACTAAATCATGCATTCTTTTATAACAAAGAAAAGTTTTAAACTAAAATAAAAGAAAAGTTCACATGCCTCTTTTTTTAAAGCTAAAATGAGGATCTTAATTTCAGTTTTTAACTGAGCAGTGAGCACCGATTCAAAGTAATGAAAAAAAAGTAAAGAGAAACTTGACATACTACTAACGTGTCAATAATTTGATGACACTCTAAAATTTGAATGCTCTCTCATTTGCTTAGTTAAAGACTAATGAATCATAACAGTTCAATACTTCAATGACTACGACCTAAATTCAAGATGTGGGCTGTGTTTAACACTGTGGGCAGTCTGTGCTAAGCCAAATCAGGGAACACAGATGGGAGTATCCTCCCACATGACAGATTGAAAAAGATGCAACTTTCCAAAACTAATTTTCCATTGAGTAAAACAAAAGCATTCTGAATACATAGATGGATAAACAAAAATAGTTCTGCAAAACATTTGGTTAAATTAATAACCAAAGAAGTTCAGAGCTGCTTGAAACAATAAGAAAAAAAACAAGCAATACTGGAGATAAGTGCAAAAGCATAAAAGCCACAAAAGCATCTCCATAATTGAGAATCCAGTATTAGTAAGCAAAAAAAATGAAAACAGTCCGCCCATGTGTGCAGCAGCAAAAAAACATTTATGTTGATCAATCAACCCCTAGCTCCAACATCTCCAGAAAATGCCTCACCATTGCCAACCAAAGAAGAACCAAAGAAGATCCACCTGAAAAGAAAAAACACAATTTAGATATCAAATACATTAAAACATTAAGTTTAAAAGATTAAATTTAAATTCAGAATATAAGCTACAAATACCTAAATCTGCAATATCATATGCCTCCATTTTCTCAAGGTCTATGCTTTCAGTAGGAAGAGAGCCCTGAAGCCAATTCTGAGTGCATATCAACTCTTGCACTGTCTTGGGACTCAATGAGCTCCTAAATGGATCTAAGATTCGGCCACCAGTGCTGAAGGCTGACTCGGAAGCTACTGTTGACACGGGAGTAGCCAGGACATCTCTTGCAATTTGTGACAGAACGTTGAACTTGGAACAATTTAGCTTCCACCAAGATAATATATCAAAATTCTCAATTGCTGGATCTTCAATTGGATCTGCCAAGTACCTTTCAATCTCATTCTTGAAATCATTTGCATTCTTCTGCTTCATCTTTTGAGCAAAAGAGCCCCATAGACAGTTTCTCCCTTCCAGACTAGCATCAGTACTCATACCTGC